CTAAGAATGTTTCTAACGTCCAAATTAAGAATAAGACAACGACCAGCGTGAAAGTCTTTAATCACCAATAAATAAAACTGAACTGAAAGATACTGCTAACCATCAAAACCATTAATCAACCATGATTTATGAATCAGGAGTCACATCTGGAAGACAGAATAATGTTCGTGAAATGACAACAGTTGCCAAAACGCGTGGATGATAAATATGTGGCAGTTAATGTAATGTAATGTTCTAAAGATTTAGAAAATTCCTTCAGCTTAAGACGTTATTTTTCAAGTCTCAGATTCTTTTCCTAATAATAATTCAATTTGAAACACAGCACGTAATCACCCGAAAGCTCAGATAGTATCTTCAAATATTCAAACTATGAGACGTTATAGTGGGATCGCAAAATGGATAAATGTCTTAAAAATCTGAATTGATGGTATCTAACTAAGTGTTAACTCTCTGACTGAGTTCGTGAAATTGATTTTGGTGTCATTTGTATTTTTATGGGGTCTCACTGCCATAAAGTTTGAATGCCAATGGTATATTCCATATAAATGAAACAGTTGTCGATGATCAAAACATATATACATACACATACTGCATACGTAACAGAATTATTGCATTCTCCGTGCTTGTTGTCCTAAAGTAAATACGAGCACACTCAACTGCGCTTTAGAGGATCCTTGGTTCAAATCGAGATGGGGACACAGTCGAATTCCTTTGTTAATCGATTCGAAAAACCTAATACCTCTATAAAGTAAATAAATATATGTAAGTACATAATATGATACGCGAATAAATACGTGAAATATATTTGATTTATACATACATACAATGACACGCGAGATAAAACCTTCCACCTTCCTAAGATGACCATTTATAGTTTCAAACGATTTTAGCCCTCTCTGGAGGAAGCCAGATTTTTAGTATCGATATTTATTCATGTTGTCAGAAATACTAGTCATATTCAAAAGTGCTCTCCATAAATGCTTTCACGCTATTTACATTTTATGAATATATATTCCATTGATTTTAAAAATATGAAACTTCATCAGAACATCTAGGTCAGTAACTTACCTTATGCTACCAACTCATCTGTCCATCATGCAACCTAGCAAATATTGCCATTTAAAGAAGCATAAGATCTTTGAATTAAATCCAGTGCAGCATAGCAGACTGTCAGTTCTCAGTGTATTGCTGTGTGAGTGGACTGTCAGTTCTCGGTGTATTGCATAAGATTTTTAAATCCAGCGTTCAAATTTAACCAATTTGCAGTTGCTTAATAAACTGAAGAATTTAACAGTAGTAAATACCCTTCTGAATAACTTAAATCTTTATTTTATTTTTAGTAATACATTTAATTGCAACAATTCCAAATATGTGTAATTTATAGTATCCAGTTCATGAATATTTCCCATGAATGTTTGCAGAATTAATTTGATTAATAAAGTATGTCTCTAACGCCATATATAAAACGGTGCATGTTGTTTCTTCTATAAAGTATTTCTCCCGCCTTTTTAACATGCCTTCGTGGTGTAGAGGTCAACACGTTCGATGCGTACTCGAGAGGTCCGTGGTGCGAGTCCCGGTGAGGACATTGCTCATTTTTCATGACTCCTGTTTCGAAACAATCTAATGTCTCTATAGTGGCGCACGAACTAGGTGGTGGATGAGGATTCTCCACTACCAGTATTTGGCAAATGGGTTCCCTAATCCCCAGTAGCCCTTTAAAAGGGAGGAGTATATAAGCTATTTCTCCTGCTTTCTTAGCATGCCTTCGAGGTGTAGTGGTCAGCACACTCGACGCGTATTCGAGAGGTCTGTGGTTCGAGTCCCGGCGAGGGCATTGCTCATTTTTCATCTCTCAATAACCTGTCTCTACACTACCAACTTTAAATAACAGAAAGACACTGAGTGCATGTAATGAATATAGACTGTGTAATAAGAGTTCATGCGTAACATATTTTTGCTCTAGTTTATAAAGAATTTGGATAGCGCTGAAAACAAGTCCTCTAAAATTACTCTCCTACTGCACTTACAGTGTTAGAGTATAGCCATACTTGTGCTTGCTGTTACGCCCCCCTGTTAGAACCAAACTGTATCTTCCAGATTTCTTTTCCGCAATTCTGTCGATCGTCAGTGTTTAGCTGCAGTATCCACTGAGCTTTTGTAACAGAACCTGTTGTAAAGAAAGCTGCCATTGTTATACCCACAACTGAACCTGCCAGTGGTTTATGATGTGCTAATTCACTGACTTTTAGCTGGCCGAGGATGTAGAAAAAAAGAAATGCCAGCAATGCAAAACCGTAACTTAACAACAAATCATACAAAATAGTATACAATCTATCAGGAGGCAAATATACAATATAGGGCACATCAATAATAAGGGAGCTACATCCAGTAGCACGCAGAATTACATTCAGAGTAAGTATCACAGTACGCTTACACATGCACAGTTGCATACAGTGCATCTCGGTTAAAAAAATTTCTTAACTTTGACTGAAACCTCATTAATGTAGTTCTTTAAAACAGTCTGGACTTTTACGTTCGTTACATTACGTTTACGTTACCATTGAACTATTGTTGCCATTGTTAGCATTAAGCGAAACATAACTTTCATTTATCATTCTTATGCTTTGCAAACAGCTAGTTCTGATTTAATTAATAGCTAATTGCTTAATAGAGTGATTTTAAAGCAATGAACACAGTTTTAAATAGTTTAAATCTTTATTTTACTTTTTTAATAATACATCTAGTTGATATAATCCAGAATGCATATAATATTTAATATATTCAACTGATAATTTCTACGAATATTTGCGACATTACCGTAACTATAAAATGATGTTTCGAATGTCGTATATTATGTACTTAAGCACATAATTATTGTATTTTTCTCTTATGATATTTTCTGAACATTTGTGTTTTCTTCTCCGCGATTATTTAGTTGCTGTGTTCTTACAACGATGATTTCTGAGCTACCTGGACACTGCTGCTGCTACCTGAACACCTGTTGCTGCTACACTATTAATCATCTACATAAATTTAATAAGTACTGCCATTGAGCGAAACATAATACCCGCGTCAATCATCTAGTTTTCACAATATTACCCTTTGACTAGATATAAAGTAACTAATAAGTTTTATGTATATTTGCAGCATTATAGTGATAAATATAAAAATCTGTCTACACCGTGTATTTTGTGTTAGAATTTATACTTGATGCAAACGTGTCTCTTTTACTTATCTTTTTAATTTGCTGCCTTTTACTTGCATAATTTATTGACCGAAATACATACATTCGATTTGTGAGTTTCATTATTACATACATAAAGACATATTTTTTCTTGTATTACATTATTATTTAATCTCTTTCTGAACCTTTAGTTTTTATTAAAAGGCGAGATATAAAGCTGGTTTAATTTTTATCTCTATAATGAGAAATCACTATTTTGAAAGCACTGCATAAATGAAGAAAAGTTAGAAAAATATCCCCATGAGATGTCAGAGTCCTAACCGTATTAATTTTGTTATATTTTTATTTTTACCACAAATCCGTCGAGGGCTGTCTATCTCAGCGGGGAGGCTTTCGAGAAAGGCAACATTCTAAGCAAAACTGGTTCGTATTCATGTTATTTGCATGGGGAAAACCGCTGTATCCTATACAGCAGCCATTTGAGCTGCCAGAAACCGAAATCGGGATGAGCGTTTAAAAATATTATCTATTTGACCACTGGTGGGTGAAGTTTAACTGTATCTTGTCATGTAGCACTAAAATATCTTTGTGCGTCTTTCTCTTTCTCTTCAGCCTATATAGAAGCACTTGAAGAAGACTTGAAGTTTTCATACGTTTCAGAAACGTAATTCTGATTCTTAATCTTTGACTATTTACAGTTCTTTTAGTTTTCACGTTGTCACTTAGCATGGAGCATGAAACCAATACGGGTTTTTATCACTTTTCAATAATTGAAGGGAAAAGGGGAAAATGTCATGAAACTTCCCTCAGTTTACCTGCTTCAGGGCATATTGTTTTTCTATGGAGACGGTCATTTGAGAGATTTTGACTACCGGTGGTATTCCGAGGTGATGGACAACAGAGTTTCCACTCTAATAAAATTGGAGATGTGAAGGAAAAAAACTGTAAAACGAGCGTGTTAATTTTTTCTGTTCGATAAAAACATCTCCTTCATTGAAAAAGAAATATATCTAACTAGATACCAGTAATTTTAATATAAAATGCATTTCTCTTTCCTTTTATTACAGAAAATGTCTCGAAAATGTTTTCAATAAATAAATATTAGTTTTCAATTTAAAAATCAAACTAATTCCTTTTTTCAGATTTTTTATATGAATTTTGATGGCATTTTCTTGGGAAAATAGGTAGGACTGAAACAGTTGCTTATGAAGTGATGCAACTTATACCGAAACATAGTATTTGCAGTTTAAGACAAACGAAAGTAGAAAACTAGTGTCAATAACAAAACTATAAACGATATTTCAGAACCAGGTGGAGCATAGGTGGCGGGACAGTTTAAATCTCTGTCCCGTATGAAATCGAAATGGAGTGGGTGTGTACCGCAAACCTATGGAGTACTGACTATTGCCGTCTTTAACCTTCAAAAAACCTGCGTGCGCGTGTGCGCGCGAGTGTTTTTGAGCCACGTGATACCAACGCGATCGTCCAACCAGAGAAACGAGAGAACGCACGTCACAATTCCTTTTTTCCTTCAAATTTAACTACAAAAAATAAAATAAAATAATGTGAAATAAAAAAAAGCAAATGAAAAAGAAACCGCACGTTCTACAGTAAGATGGCCATTGCCGAACAAAAAGAGAGAATCGAGGAATGTGAAACAGAAAATTGGGGGAATAGGAGGAGGGGGAAAGCGAACTTGCAGAGGCGGGGGAATCCTGTCCGAAGAGGAAGGGAGCGGGAGAAAGGGAGAGTGGGATGAGAGAGAGTGAGAGAGGCCTGAGGAAGGTAGGAGAGACAGACAGGTATATCTGGGAAACGGCGCGGTTTTAAAAGACCCATCACCTGTTGCTGGCGAGCTAGTCCTCCTTTTCCTCTTGGTGTGCCTGCTTCTCTCGGTTCACCCTCCATCCCCCAGCACTTACCACGTACTCGACCAAGGAGGTACATAAATACTTTCAAGAACGCACACGAGTGGGCCTGTCGATTTATCCATAACAAATCATCCAACACAATAACCGATTAGGTGAGCACACATATTCGTGCTATACTTTCTCTAAGATCTTGATTCGCCGCTGGTGATGTTTTGGTAGAATCTCGCATGGCAAAAAACAACTTTTTTCTTCCTTCCCTTTCCTTTCGCGTCCACTCTTGTTGCTTTATTTGCTGCTCAGCCCTAGTTTTTAAAGCTACGAGCAAAGAGAAAAGAAACCTTCTCAACCGGCTTGCTTTCGACGGTCCAGCTGATTCCTGAGGAAATAGGTTACTTAAGTTAACGGATCGCTGCCTTGCGCTCTCTCCCTCTCTTAGTAGCTGTTCGGATTCACTTTTATTAACACCGTCTTAGCGGTGCCCGTTCTTCTTCTGCTCTCTCGTCTGTCGTCATAGCAATCATTTATAACAGAGATATTTAGTCAGTGTGACCATAAGCATCTCGCATGTCTGTGCTTTGATCTCAACTGAGAATTAAACGCTGCCTCCTACATAGTATAGCACAGCTTGTATATTTTCAATTCTGGGTGTATTTTCAATATCTCAGGATTCATTCCTTACTCGACAGGACATTAAAAAGGAGAAGAATGGTACCGATGTTCCTGATATTCTGGGCCCTGGTGGCCATAGCATCTGTCCGGGCTCAAGATGGACCTGTGTACCCGGATGGCTCCATCCGACTCGTGGGGGGACGGAACCCTACTGAAGGCAACGTAGAAGTGTTTTACAGAGGACGCTGGGGGTCTATCTGCGACGACGAATGGGACATCCGGGAAGCATATATCGTCTGCAAAATGCTTGGATACAATAGGGCCGTGAGGGCCACTTTCAACTCCCAGTTTGGGCGTGGAAGGGGTAAGTTGATGTCACTTATTCTTTCGCATATTTCTATAAAATTAACTTGAAAAATGTGAAGATCACATTTATTGTAAAATATGCATCCAAAACGATAATCATGAGGTGATAGGTTTAATAACAAGTGCACACTAAACACCAATAAAAACCGAAATTTTACCCTTCTATAATTGAATATACTTTCATTGCAGAAATGTTAAAAAATGTTCTTCCTACGAGTCATTCATGCAGTTAGGAAAGAAACTATTGAGTTCCATTTAAAATACATCAAGCTAATTTTCCTTTAAACAAATCTTCTGTTATAATGAATTAGATTTTAATTCTGGTTTAAAAGATGTTATTAGTAAGATTGAAAAGTTTAGTCTTATGAAGTTAATGTATTGAGTATATTATATGTATACGATGTTATATTTTTCATTTAATCGCCTAGCATGACGTACTGCTTTCAGTAATTATTTCAGAATCATGTATTTTGTGCAAATTTTTAAAGACTTTTTAAATGGATTTTGAAAATCTAGCTTTCATTGGTTTTGAAAACATTTATTAAATTTTTATTATGTTTTATACATAAAGTATCTTAATATAATTTATTATTTTAAAGCTATTTTAAGGACAATGTTAATTTCATGACCTGCAGAATTAAAGCTCAAAAAAGCATTTTGAGTTTGAAGTAAAATAAAGGATTGTTTTCTAATTTTTACTTACTGTAGAGTCTTAAGTAACATTAATATTCAAATTACGTTCGTATACATACGTTCAATTTTAGACATCTTTCAGTCTTTTAAACTCTAATAACCCTAAACTATGTAATCCTAAACTATTTTAAATGTTACAGAAGTATTTTTAATATATAAAATAAAATTACTTTCAGATAATTAATGATTTTTAAGCTTCAGTATTAATACATAAACAATTTAAAGGGCTCGTTATGTGTATATTCTTGAATGTGATATTTAAAATATGGCAGGTATAACGATAAATCTAACTGTTATGTTCTAAGATTCACACGTTTTAGATGTTAGTTATTGTAATGTGCGATATTTTTCCTTAACACTTAATGATTAGAAAGATGGTATAGGATACGATGTTTATCTACAGCTAAAATTACCTTAATGGCAGTATTAAAATCAGTGCCATTAAAAGAAAAGCGTTTATGATAGTGTGGTAAATGATTACTAATTTCATTTTACTTCTTTTTGAGATTTGAGATTACCTTTTATTTATCTGATCTGATTTAATCTTATCGATACAGAGAATAAGCTCTGATGGCTCTGCCAAGAATATGTTTCGCTAATATTGCTGCACTGGCTATAATTCTATACAAATAAATATGTGGTCATAGGAACATATATATATGTACACAAAGCTTTGTTTGCGTGATGTAAAATAAAATTATTTTCAATTAGTCAACGATTTTCAAGCTTCTGTATTAACATATAAACTATTTAAAAGACTTGTTGAGCGTAAAACCTAACGGTCCCTTTTCATACTGACTGAAAATGTTTTACTGTTATATAATTAAATTAAAATACATTATTTTTTAAAAAGGAATGAAACATGAATTACAAATCTTATTTTAGAGACATTTTAATATAATTTTAATAAATATAAATATTATACCTCATTTATCAGGAATCTTTAATAAATGTAATATTTTATTATCAAAGGCAATGTGCTTCTAATCATAAAGCATTATGATTATTTTTGTGTTTCCATGCGAGATATTCCATATATGCTCGGTAAATCACGAAAATATTACATTTTACTTTTTACGCAGATGTTTCTAGCATTCAACCTTATTTTGCTTTAGCATATTTTCAGCGATATTTCTCTTTTTATAATAAAATGCTATATAACTTGGAAATAATTTTTATTGCGTATTTACTAATTGCAGACTGTCAATATAGGGAACTGAAAAGCGAATAATAAATATAGCATTTTGAACGCTTGCTAAAAGAATATTCTAAAGTAACTTAGTCAAAGATGAAATTAATGTTGGAAAAAGTGTATTTATTTATGGTAGTGATGAACATGAACTTAATAATGATTGAAACTGAAGTTAGAATGAAAATACAGAAAGTAAAAGTCATAATTTTAAAGCTCAACCTTTTGCAGAATAGGTATGATATGGGTGTCGAATATCAAATTTCAACTAAAGGTGTTGGTTGGTGTATTTAATTATGGCAAAGCACACTAGGACTATAAGCCTAAGGGAAGGGATGCCGTCGTGAAGGACTTTCTAAGGGAAACTGGATCGTATACACGTCACACATGTGGAAAGGCCCGTTCACGGTGTTCGAACCTCGGACCGAGCTACCAGTGTTTAGCGACTTTACCGCTCGGCCGCTGGTGGGCTTCAACTAAAGACTTTTTTGTAATATGAGTTGAAATAAAATTATTAGTTCTTACTCCAAAACCCTAGTTAAATATCTGAAATGTTTTCACTTAGGTTAAGAAAGGCTGAGTCTTACATTTTCATCGTATTAGTAAAAGTGAAATTAAATTTACAGGCTTTGATTTAAAATATGTTTCATAATTTCGCAATCAAGTGGATAGTTATTTTATCACATTGTCCGCCAACGGCAGATGCAATTAAAATTTTAGAAAACTGATTTTCATTTTCGGTTGCGTATCTATGCTGTTAGAATATTTCTTACTATGAGGGGAGGTATTCTACAAATTTACTAAAATGTTGTTCCTCTGGTTTTGTAGGAAAAGTATCTATCCTGTACGTTTGTTAGAGTGCTGTTGATCACGTACATTTATATAATGTTCATGCGTATTCGTTTATAATACACCTAGAATGTTATCATTTACCAAGAAAATAGTTTGAAGTTTTATTAACTTACTTTTAGTTTTTCACATCATGATAATTCTAATACCTAGAATATTATTAACTAACAAGGAACTAATTTGAATTTTAATTAGTTAATTTATTTATTTCTGTTGTTTATTTTCAAGATTAGGAAATTTAAAAGAAATCGAAAGTGACCAAAAATGTTTTTCACAATAAATAATAAATAAAAATATGTTACATTCTTGCTAAAGCAAATAACTTAAAAAATCAGTTCCAATCAAATAAAATCTGAAATAAGTTACCAAGTAAAATTGAAGAAAATAATTATTTTACATAACATAATCTTTATAAGCATTTTGTACTGTAAATTTCAGAGGTTATTGGTTAATTGTTTCTGTAACTGTGCAATAAATTTACCACAGTTTTTTAAATACTTATTTATGCAAATATTTGCATTTTAACAGAGATGTGTAAATTGTAAAATTTTAGAATTTCATTAGAATATACATTTTAATAATTTTTGTAGTACTGAATAGAACAATAACTTCTATTACAGTATTTTGAACAAATATAAACGAAACAAAACTTTTGTAATACATAAGAAAAAATACTAAAAAGCTCCTGTTTCCTGTTAATGAACAGAGACAAATAAAAAGATTTTTCACATTTCAAATGTCAAAGCACAAAACACGCGCAGATGCCTCAAACACTCCCTAACTTCCTATTAAAAAGAAGAAAGCTTTCGGAAACAATATACAATAAAAATACATAGGAATTATTTCTGCATCGCGAAACAATCATGGCGGTGTTCCATTGGTTCACCTTTATCGCCATTATTTTACGCTTTCTCCACTTACTTTTTCTTCTTTTGATACGCAAATCGAAAACCCTTGACATGTTTTTTTCATTTTTAACGCGTTATTCTTCTATTTCTCCGTCAGCTGTAAATAGGCGGCCATCGTATATATAAGAGAGACTTCGTTTCCTGTGGTATTGGCCTGAATAGGAAAAGAAAGAACAGCTGAATTCTTTTGTATCAGATGCTTTCGCCGGGAAATTTTTTCCGCATTGTTTATTTTGGACATAGTACAGCGAAGGCACCTTACCTGAAGATGAACCAAATTCTAAAATTCTCATTCCTTTGTTCTAGGAAGTAAAACACTTATAGAAAATTGGTATTAGGAAAGATGAAGAGTTAAAATTTGTCTAAATATTGTACTAACAGTATTAAAAAATTGTTACTTTGCTTGTGTATAAACTACAGAAAAGTTTCACAAATTGAAAAAGTGCGGCTACAGCTTTATTGCAAATGATAGCGTTTATATTGCTATTTCAAATATTAGCGAAAATTAATAATTAATTGAAACTTAATAAATTAATGAAATATTAAGCATTTATCTTAGCCATATTTGTCACAATATAGATAAGTATAGAAACAAATGCAGTGTTTTTATAGCATACATTTGAAACATCTTGTATGTAATAATTACAACCCAAGCTCCAGACAGTAGTGACACATTTCAAAATTTTGATTAAATATGAATAATATAGGAAAATCTTGATTGTCCGAATCATGATTAACCGCAGTTGAGTATTAACTTTGTTTATCAATTATTAAAATCTTTGACGTTCACCAAAGCTCTTTTAACGAATTTCCTTTCTCTTATCTTCACTGCGTTTCCTAATTTATTAATTTAGGCTGCTTCTTTTTTTATTTTTTTATCATTTTTTGCTCTAATTATTTAATAATTCTTGAAATTTTCTTACGCAAATAGCAATGAAATCTTATTATTTCCACGTTAACCTTTTTACAATGCTAAATTCAGCTTCTCAAGCGCAAGACTTCTATAAATAAGAAGTGATGTTAGCCACAGTAAATAAGCATTTTTTTCTTAAAATAATGTCATGCATTAATACTTTAGCATGAAACGTTTTAATGTGTGCTATTAAGTTATAGACAGCGTTTCACTACAAAATAAATGTTTCATTTGCAATATAAAAACCTGAAAATACGCAGCAAATTATATATTATTTCCAACGTAAAAAAAAAAAAAAAAAATCTTTGCACAAGGGGCCGATAATTTTTCAGATTTTTACCACGAGCGCTTGTAGTGCTTTCATGTGCCTTTGTGCCTTTCAACTGCTAGCGCTAGTACTTACAGCGCTAGCAGTTGAAAGACTAGGGCTGAATTCCCGGCAAGGG